CGGCCAGTCCGGCATTCTATCATATATCGGGTGCTTCGAGAAAAAGAGATGGTGAGTCACGGCACCAAGATCTGGTATCGATCGGTTCTGCTACCGAGTCGCCAAATCAATCACAATATAACGTCATTAGACTCTCTTGTAGGAAGCCGGAATAAGGTCCCTTACCGCCATAGGAGTCGAAAATATCTCTGCCATGTTAATGTTCTAACTAGGTAGGAAGGTTACATATGCCAGTAGGTAAATTACCATAAATAACAACAGATGGTAAACAGCGACGTCATCATGACTGAGGTCCTGGCTCCCTGGGTAGCGCAAGATAAGCACCTTAGGTAAGTCGGTAGCAGTTGACGAAATCATGTGGTCTGTGCACATTCAGCTTGACTGAAGCTGAATGGGACTAGATCACGTGCTTTACACGTGATTGTCTCCCGTACCGGATCGGGCTAGATCGACAATGTTCCGGCAACCCGTCTCTCCGAGCATTGAATCCCAATTTGCTGCTGTTGCCCATCACGAGCCTCGCTAGTCACGCATTTCTTCAATTGACAACGCCTGCCATCATGAACGCCTTCCGCGTCGCCCGCGCAGCTCTGCGAGCCCGTCCCGCTGCTATGCGGCTCCCCATCCAGCCTCTGCAGCGAAGGGGCTACGCCGATGCTGCCCCCGACAAGGCTCGTATCACACCGTAACAGAAGATGTGCTCTACTAACATTGCGCAGATCAAGCTAAGCTTGTCTCTCCCTCACCAGGTACGATAGCCTCCAGCACCGCGACAGGGCCCAATCCACCATGGCTCCCACGGCCCCGTCCAATTAGCCTACGTTAGACGACCTCGCTGCCGACCGACTGTGCTAATTCCCGCAACAGTCCATCTACACATCGCAGGACGTCGTTCAGGTCAACATCCCGGCCGAGTCTGGTGACATGGGTGTCCTTGCCAACCACGTCCCTTCGATCGAGCAACTGAAGCCTGGTCTCATTGAGGTCATAGAGGAGAGCGGCTCCAGCAAGCAGTTTTTCCGTACGTACATACCAACACGGCGAAGGCAGCATTGGGCGGTTCACTAAAGTCCAGTACCAGTCTCTGGCGGCTTCGCTACCGTCCAGCCAAACTCTGTTTTGAGCATCAACGCCGTTGAGGGTTACCCCTTGGAGGATTTTAGCGCCGAAGCTGTCCGATCCCAGATTGCCGAGGCGCAGAAGGTCGCCAACGGCAGTGGCAGTGAGCAGGATGTCGCGGAGGCTAAGATTGAGTTGGAGGTAAGATGCATGTTGGATACTTGCTTTATGCTCTGTTTTGCTAACGGTATTAGGTCCTGGAGAGCTTGCAAGCCGTATTGAAATAGACTGTATAGAGGATAGTGATCGCGCAACAACTTGTACATCAGAATAATTCCCTACAATTCCCAAGAGCGAAGCACGGTTTTGAGAATATGAACGTCTACACTTGCGGCTGCCCCGGCTGCCCTGTGGTGAATGCGCCTACTTGCAATACATACTGCGGTTGCCTTGCATAGGTGCTTCTAAATAGTCGCTACCTAAGATTGTCTTTCGACTAAGCCGCCTAGATTACACACTCTTCGGGTTTACTCGCTCGCTGCTAACCGGTAGCACAGTAACCAACCTTGGTTCTTGAAACTACATATATATTATACCAATGCTTATCCATCTGAGATAATGCGCTACTTATAGCACTAGTCAAACCGCCAAGAGGGGGTTTTCATCATGTCTTTAGTCTCGCGAGGATGTGCTCCCATTGCTGTGAACAGGCCCAAGCAGACTGGCTGCACTGTTCTCGACAGTCCAGTTCCTATTGGAACCGTTGCATCACGGTTGCATCGGTTCTACGCATTTTCTAACCAGATCAACTCATCGTCCGAAGGCCCTGACACCGCCGAACGCGAGCGCGCGAACACAGCCGTCGGTTAGAGACGTCCGCCACGTTCCCAGTTTGCAGACCCTTCGACCCATTATCTCGATGTACCGGACTTCCGGACGTTTCCAGCTTCCCATATATTCGTCTTCCACAATTGCGGACGGGATAACCATGACAAGGAGTATGCTCAGAAGTTCGGAATTCGCCCACCAATTCTGCCACAGCCTTCGTCATGTCGGAAGAGCTTTTCTATGGGCCACCTATGTAACAAATTTGGCCTCACGGAAATCCACTCGTCTAGTGGACAACACCTTTATAATGCTATCAGAGAGACTCGTTTCAACCCAACTCACACGCACTTACCAATACCTAACGATAGTGAGATACAACCCTTCACAAACCCCTTACTCCTTAAAGAGTTACAAAACCCGCCATTAGTTTCATCCAGTTTGCGTCATACTCCAGATATCGAGCGATGGAGATCAGCCCGTGATATGTTCACACAGTACCATATTAGCCGGCCCTCTGGCTGGCTTTCGGATATCCAGTCAGGGGATGGAAATGCCAGCCCCCGAGGATACTGCCGATACTGTCATATCTGCTCAATTCCCACTTTGGCTCCAACTCATTGCTCGTCCTGTGGGCACCGCCTTTGTGAAAAGTGCAAGTGTGAGGTGTCCAGCGGCACTCCGCAGGCTCATGCCAACTTTTCGCATCCTTCAAGCCCTACCATCGCAAGAGATGGGTCCCAATACGCATCTGCTTCTAGAACAGATCCGGAATTCATGGAAAGGCTTTCGCAGAACCGAAACAACGATCGTGTAGACACGCAACTTCATCGACCGTTTGATCTCCGTCCCGATACTAGCTGGCGAAAGAATGAGGGGCGGGGAAAAGAGACGACATTCGCTGGGATATCTCTAATCAGTAGCAATCATTCACGTATGAACGAAGAACAACCTGAACAGAATCGAAGCCAGTCAACACGACCTATTAAGAAGAATCCGTTCGTCGTCAAAGATCAAGAGGATAAAAAACAAGGTACCGGTCATCCAAATCAAAAAGAGTGTGACGATCCCCTGTGTAGAGCAACTCATACCGGTCACTATCCTTTTCGGCATAGTGTTTCCTGCTCCAAACATGGAAGTGAGCAGAGTAGGCAGTCTTTGGACCCGGGCGGCGTTTCAAATAAGCCTCCTCAGGCTGTAGTTGGGAAGTCTAACCTTAATGAGAGCTTCGTGCCAGATGAACGCGATGTCCCTCATCGCCACCATTCTTCCGGCTTCCATAGCCATCATCACATTGCGGAACACCTTTCCTCAGCCATTGGCCACAATGCTTATGATCTCCTCGAAGGCCGTAAAGCAAAGGTGATTGAGCCCATCTCGTCCAAGGCAAGCATCAAGCGGAGCCCGTGTCTCCAGCCTCTCACAAAGCCCAAGCCGGTGACACGGATTGGTTCGTTTCAGTGGACTCAAGATGCTGTCCCTCCGGGTCACCCGGGTCGCTCAGGTGATGAGAGGCAACAACAGTTTCCGATGACAGAAGTCGCAACAATAGCGTCAAATGGTCAGCCTCACAAGACTGCGAACGACGAGACTACACGTAATGCAAGGGATACGGCGTCGGACGAAGCTACTATCCACGATAAGCAAAAGGAAACACAATATGACTTGAACGTATCGTGGCGTGATAAGGAGCCTCATAAACTTCGACTAGTGAGCCCAACGTCGTGGTTAAGGAATCCAACCAAGACAGCAGCTGACGCTACCGCTCCATTACACCACGTTAACACGAAGAGTAACGAAGCACATGGGAGCGACCACGAACACGTCCCGAAGATCACCGTCGATGACAGGAGAGAGCATGCGACTGCTCTCTCGACAAACGCAGTCCATAAGGTGGATACCCCAGAAGAACGTCGTTTACCCCCAATAAGAACGCATAATTCGTCTTCTTTAGTAGCAAAGGTACCCGAATCGTCCCATGTAACACCCAAGATACAAATTGACAGGGCCCCTTCTGAGCACAAACGACGATATATCCCAGTTTCAGTGTCAAAGCGACGTGAGGCTTTCGAATATGTTCAGGATCATACAAGTACGGCCTCTTCCACAATGAAAGCGAGCCATATTCGTAAGACGCTTCCCCAGCAAGTTGGACAGCAAGGGGCAACTTCTCTAGCTCAGAGTGGACGGTCGCAGTCGCTTATAAAAAGATAGGAGGCTAAGGATACGCACCTGCGCTCGAACACTCGGCTCGACCAAGAGAAAAACGCCACGCCTAGACTCCTAGACGCACGACTTCGTCGAGGGGGAACCGGTAAATCATTTATATCTACGACCCACGGGTCTGATCAAGAACTTGAGCCAAAGTTTTTCGCTGAGCATTCATCTGAACCTGAAATTGCCAAGCCGACGCCCATCGCTCCTCCAAACCATGAATGTGACTGGAAGGAAAGATATTTGGTCTTGACGGCAGAGATCCGTCAGCTCAAGGCCGAGATGTCGACCCGTGCTTCACTCAAGAGCTCAGATACCCTCACCCCTAGATACGAACAGCATCGGGACAATCTCGATCTACTAGGGGTCACTGTTATCTTACACTCCAGAGACAGAGACGACATCGTGATCAACACTGATGCGACGCGAGATGCAGGGCCTAGTAACTACTAAAGGCAAAGAAAGCTAAAGAAAGGGTCAAGGAAGGAAAGCCCCGACCGAGGACGCTGACGTTCGCTTGGAAACTCCGAAACGTTGGTTCTACACTATAGAATTAGGATAATTACTTCTTCGGTTACAGGAATTAAAAAGTAGCGGATATTCTTCATTGATAAATTATATATGACTTCGAACCAAAGCAGGACCTCGTCGTGGTTTACAGCTATATGTTCTATTCAGCATAAGACTATTAAAAGCTATGCCATCCGTAGTAAATAAGCTGTTAATCGGCTAACTAATACCTGGACAAACCCTGCTTGACCCTGCTTGCTATACTGGTATAGATAAGGAATGTCAAGTATACACGTAAACAAAAAAAGCTTTGTATAAAATATGAAGAATGCTAAAATTGGGCAAAAGAAACTGCTCACTCCATTGTTAGATGAAGTGTAATTAATACATTACTCCGAATCGGGGAATCGAACCCCGGGCTTGACGGCACCAATCCTACGTCTAAACCTCTAAAGAGAGGTGAGAAGGCGGCAATGAGAGCGTCAAATGTTGGCCACTACACCAATTCGGATGTAAATTTGAAGTGAATTGACTGCCCACTAGCGGAATCGAACCGCTGATCTTGTCATGGCATTTAGTCTACGAGATTCTTTTAATGAGTCCCATGGTACTAGTGACACGCTATACCACTTAGCCAAGCGGGCAATTTGTCTTCAGATGCTGGTCGGCGCTATTATCATCGGTCATATTATCGAACGTTTAGCTACACAATGCTACCAATTCAATGATGAGTATGGGATGGTTTTCTTGTATTGAATTCTCATAGTTGCTTATTTATCGATGTACTGCTTGCCTTTAATGTTTGCGCCTTGTTCTTTAAAGTGTAGTAGGGGATTGTGAATAGTTGCATCTTAGTTTGCAGTTTATCCCACAGGAAGAAGCACTGGGTAAAAAGCGAGGTAGAAAGTTCTTCCAGCATAAAATAAAGAAAGAGATAGCATCTTAGTACCTTAACCAAGGAAAGTTATTATACATGCAAATCTGTCATCCCGGCTATCGGCCTATCTTTGGTGTTCCGCACGTAAAGCCGGACAACAAGTGCTCTCTGTAACAAGGGCTTGGAGCAATAAATCGAATTCAACTAATAATTCTCTAGGGGTCTAAAGAGTCCTTAGTTTCCTCTTCTTCCAAGCAATGTAATCTTGTCTCCTTAGCTCTATTTATATTCATGCCTTCAGATCCGTTATCTACCCCCTCACTTAGTCGAGGCCTTGCTTGCAGACTCTTCCAGGCACGTGAGACTGCAGCATGGTAAATACGAGCTGTATGTCTTGAATCAGGACTTGGCAGGCCGGTCCGTGTGACACTCTCAATCAAGACAGCGAAACCAATTCCTTTAGTGCCTTATAAACTCCAGTACATAGCCCAACGAGAAGCACTTTCCGAGCATATGTGTATAGGGAAATATAGTGTTACAAGGGCTTGTGTTCAAGGGCTTGAGAAGTTTCAGATTAACTAATAATCATCTATGCAATCAAAGGGGCTCTGGATCTCTAGTCCACCTATCTAGCCAGGCGGGCGCCCGGCGCACTTCAAGCTATATATGCGAATAGCTTCACCTGGGCCGCCTGGCTTCCTGGCTTCCTAGCTTCCCCTTGCCCTCGCGCCCTCGTATTACTATCTCGGATAAATCAGAATAACGGAGCAGAACAATACAATCTAGACATAGCCTGGTGCTCTCATGGAAAATAATGGTCTGGATAAGCTTTTCTTTCACGCCTAATAAGAATAAACCATGAGTAGCAATGTTATATGCTGGTTGTTAAACCTCTTTTCGAGATTCAGCAGAAAATCAGAAATCAACTAACTTAAAGTGATGCCCTTTTCTAGAGAAACACTGTTGTTAAGTGACCGAGTCTTAATAGAATAGCCCGTTTTATTAAGCTCTATGAACCTCTATCAATGAAACCCCCTTGTAGTGACCCTAAAAACACAACTAATTTCTATCCCTGTAGTTATGCTATTTTTATTTTTATAATATCTTTTCATTTCTTAATAATTTTCATAGCACTTCGCATGCCAATTCCGAATGAGGAGCTTAAGCAGACAAACAAAAAACGAGTAAGCTACCAGCTTCTGTTGTACCACCCGACGGGTTAGAAGACGATAATGTCACGAATGACCGCCATTTGGCTAACTCAACAACCTTATGTAGACCCTAGTGAAGGATACCGACTGGATCGAAGGTAGACTTGTAATATGCGCCAATGACACAGACGCGCTGGGGTACGTTTTCCTCCTCTTGGTACGTGATTCTCTCTTCCTCGGCACGTTCCTCCTCGAGTGCCGCGATGAAGTTGCCCCTGATTCCCGTTGGCTCCTTGCGCCAGATCTCGAAAAACGGGTTGCCATCTGTAGAAGAACTCGTTGTCAGCCATGGCTATTTTGGATCTAGAACCTAGAAGCACTGGCGTGGGGGTTCACTTACGCTCCGCATACGTCCTCGCGGTAACGGGCGTTGGGGGTGCCGGGTTAAATTACTCATCCAATACATTAATGGTCCAGCAAAGTTGCTGCATCCCCGTCGCCAATAACACGGCCTTTCCCCTGATATGCAACTCTTGACGTACAGCCCCAAATACCAGTAGGTAGGAATACATAAAGGCGCAATCTTACCTCTACCCCCTTTGATCGTCAGGCCAGATGTCTCCTGTATATCATGTCGCTTGAGGCCGCGGGTTATTGTTTGAATGACAGGCCCGGTTTTTTCTCTTATTCACATTTCTCTATCTAAACCTCATTTTATACCCAAACATACAAGGAATTCCTTATAATGGCCGCCCACAGCTAAGAGAACAATCAGGACATGCGCGACCTGTACGTAGCTACCCGGGAGATAAAGAATTCGCATCATAGCCGTCTTGTCGATGACGAAATTTCCTGGCACCTTAGATCCATGGATGACCGGGACTCTGAACACCAAGGTGTTCGTATCTCTATAGGTGATGTTGCCTTGATTTCACAACCCCGTAGCACGGTTGACAATTTCGACGTATCCCACCCTGCCAAGGCCTCGCCGGATTCATATACCTCTCCTGTATCCCATCTGGAGCCGATACCTAATCCTGTGCTGATTTCAACTACTGGAGTCTTGCCATACGACGATGTGGCTTTGGTTAACTCTAATACTGCCACTATAACGCCCGAAGCATGGTGCAGCGATAAAGAGAAATCACACAAGAATAAAGCTCCGCAATATATGGTAGAGTGCTGGCTGTGGGAAATATGTGGAATGAGTCTTAGTATTGGCAGTATCATTGTCATTATTCATCAAGCTGCTAGCTTGGACGGCAGTCTGCTAAGTGACTGAACATCGGAGATTTCCCCTAACAGTCATATCGGCGTTGGCCACCCTGGCGAAAACATCAATGGTACTGGCTCTCGCCAGAGGACTTAGTCAAGCCAAATGATGGCTGTACTTTTGCAAGATACAAAGACCCGTTAGTCATATATCGGTTTACGAGGATGCTAGTAGAGGTCCCTGGGGTTCCTTGAAATTCCTTTTTATAGGTCTGCGGTGCAAATCATGGGTAGTTTCCTGGATGGGTGCTCTTCTTGATGTTTTAGTGCTTGCAATGGGTCGATACGCCCAGCATAGTGTGGTGTTCAGTACACAGACAGTCCCCCAAGAAAAGGCGAACTCGTCTATCCTGGCCGTGAAAACATTTCGCACGCGGGACTCTGGTTCAAGCGAAAGCCTCGTGCTTGACACATCTCCAATACGATCCCTGCAGCGTGCTCTCGTCGATGGCTTGTTCACCGAAGAAATCTCTCTTGATGTCAATTGCTAATTCGGGAATTGTTCAAGGCCCGATTTTGCGACTCTTAGTCTGTGTTGCTCCTGCGCAAATGTCTCAAATATTACTCCGGCAACCATCTCAACCGGTATAGGAGATTCCACCGACCGACCCTGGAAATATAAAAATGCTGTCGCCTTCGATCTCGAAACACCTTCGGGCTTACATTTCATATATGACCCTACACCGATTACTGATTTTGTGATCAAAAGTGAAGGGGGAAGCGAGACAACATTCGTTCATATACTGCAAAAGGCCCGAGGCACTGTAGAGTCCCAAATCGGTTTCGATGGCTCTCTAGTATCACCAGCAGTAGTCCAACAGGGCTTTTCGCAATTTGCAGGAAACATTTCCAATGTTGTCAATATCCCTGATGGTACACCATCTAAACTATCACAAAATGTAACGACCACTTCCGTTGAAATAAACGCCACTGTGATAGAGTGCACAATCAGGTGGTGCGCTAGAGTTTATCGGAACTTCAAAATTGTATGGCGCCGACTCTTTCCAATTTCGTCTGTATAGAATAAGTCAATTATCTAATACACTACTTCTTAGGTTGACGGCGGATCAAGGGAATATAACGTACGTGAACATCCACTTGGTGTCACACGGACCTAAGGGACTGGGACTAGGCCTGACCTAGGTCAGGGCCTAGGCCAGCCCCTAGGGCTGGCGAACTGCATATTCGTATGCAAATTCGTGATTCTGTAAATAGTCATATGATCGGGTGGCAGAGCCTATAGATTATCTAGGGCTTCCCGTTTCGTCCCGTTGCTTCCCGTATGTTCTAATCTATCCAAAACAGTAATACGAAAGGCCGCAAGGGCAAGTAGAAGCGAAAGAAGCCAGGCGCTAGCCCAAATAAAGCTATTCATATAGCCTAGGGGTTGCCCACCTGGCTAAACAGGAGGACTAAAGATCCAGAGCCCCCTTAAGCCTATAAATGATTATTAGTTGAATTAGAACACATCTTAAGCCCTTAATACAAGCCTTTGTGACACTTGGCCTCCTTTTAAACAATAATGGGACATCGAAATACTATATTACTACCCCGGATAATACCTGGAGTCACGGTACACCCCTATATACCAGTTTGCGGATAGCACTTTCATAATCGACGGGCCAAATATCTGGGTCCGTTGACAGTGTTAGCGGTCTCGCTTTACAATACGGCAATAACCTAATATTAGCAAGAATGGACATCATCGCAGATAGTCTAACCACATTGATTCAGAAAAACAGCGAAGATTCTGTCCAGGTGCCTGGGACCGTCTGGATTCAGGCTACTGTGATACACATCCGTTGGGCTTGGTTGGCATTCCCCGTTGCTCTCGTTATTTTCAGCGCAATCTTTTTAATAGTCATAGCTATAAGGAGTTACCAGAACGACGTGCCCACGTGGAAGTCTTCACTAAACTATATAATATTTATAATTAATGCTATAGTTGCTTTAAATAACAATTCCCGTTGCCGGGTTAAAGCTCTTGATATTAAATCGATATATATTAATAATGTGCTTCGTCTTATCGAGGATGCTATTCAGAGGCATGCGTACGTCCAGCGAAGTACACGATTCAGCCTGACCAAAACGCCACCTGCTAACACCCAGAATATCGTCGGCATGTTACCCTGAAATCGTCTGCTACCCAATGTCTACCGCACGCCGTGACAAGCGTATCAGCACGCTGCGCCTTGCTGGAGCAGAGCTGTCGGACTCAACGACATTCCTTCTTCCGAGACTACCTCGCTCAATCCCACGGCGCTGCTCATCCGCGCGCTCGGGAACTGCAATGCCAAGCAGAGCAGCGAATCAACGCAAGAATCGGAGGGACTATCCAGAGTAT